CAAAGTATCAATTTTTTTTATAAATATACAGGGTGTCCAAAAATTGGCGCATTCGGAGTACAGGACGTGATACTTTGTCCAATAGAGGTTTACGTCATCGAAGACGGAGGCCATAAATATTAACAATAGTTTACGATTTTTTTTTATAAAATCTTAAATATATGTACTTTTAATATATAAAGATAATAATTTATACAACTAATTAATTATCGCAAAAAAATTCACGAAAATAGCCTTTTTTCGGCCGTCACAGTGGTGTTCCCCCTTAAAACAGTTTTAAAATAAGAATAAACTATGTGAATACTAATTAAAAACTGAAGATTGAATATACATACGCAAATTTTGTCATAAATGCAAAAAATTCAAAATACAAAAAGTAACGATAAAAGTAATTGTATAATTCGTTATCGTTACCAAAAAAATGCATGTTACCGTTACAGTTACCAAAAAAATAAAATAACGTCGTTATCAATTCGTTACCAAAAAAAAGTAACTGTATAACGATAACGGCATTACAATTAAGTAACGAGTTACTTCCAATCCCTGTGTAAGCTTCAACGCGATCGAAACTTATTTTATACGTACAAAGTATAAAACTTATATGCAAACATATATTGTTACGAGTCGAAACTAGAAGATGATATTTTTTTGTTTGCATACACAATAATTTCATCCGCGTTCCGTTATTGTCTGTACTTTGGTAAATATTTATTTTTACAAATATTGTATATAAAATACATCGATGAAATTATAGCAAATAACTGATCGTAGTATCTATATTTTACTTACATCTCAAGATACAATTACGTACAAGGTCAATGTCGGATAGAATGTGCAGCATGTGTGATAAAGTCTCTGAAATGTTCCACTATTCTGCAGAAATTACGCAATGTCTCTTGCGTTGTTTTCCAGATAGTATCATTTGTTTTCGATTAAACACGCATTTACATCAGAAAAGTCTATTTAATTAATAACACATGCAGCGCTTATCAATGGTATTTACGTTATCAGATCCTCAATGAGTAATAGTCAATATGCTAACAATGAGTTGGAAATGTATGAAGATATGTAAATTGCCAGAAAGATAATTATGTCACGTGAAAGATGTGTGTGTGTGTGTGTGTGTGTGTGTGTGTGCGTGCGTGCGTGCGTGCGTGCGTGCGTGCGTGCGTGCGTGCGTGCGTGCGTGCGTGCGTAGCGTGCGTGCGTGCGTAGCGTGCGTTAGCCGTAGCCGTAGTCGTAGCGTAGCGTAGCGTAGCGTAGCGTAGCGTAGCGTAGCGTAGCGTAGCGTAGCGTAGCGTAGCGTGCGTGCGTGCGTGCGTGCGTGCGTGCGTGCGTGCGTGCGTGCGTGCGTGCGTGCGTGCGTGCGTGCGTGCGTGCGTGCGTGCGTGCGA